ATGTCCATGACACGCTGGAAGGTGGCTGGTGCTGTACAAAGTCCGAACGGCATCACTTTGAACTCGTACAGTCAGTCGGGAGTGGCGAAAGCAGTTTTCTGGCGGTCGCGTTCGTCGACTTTAATCTGCCAGTAGCCACTCTTCAGGTTTATCGACGAAAAATATCGGGAGTGGCGCAGTCGGTCTAGCGTATCGTCGATGCGGGGAAGCGGATACATGTCCTTCTTAGTCACAGCGTTCAGTCGACGATAGTCTACGCAGAACCCCAGGGTCCCGTCCTTCTTCTTTACAAGGACGACTGGGGAGGCCCACGGACTTCTTGAGGGTTGAATGATGTCGGCGCTGAGCATTTCCTGGACTTGACCTTGAAGCACTTTCCTTTCCTTTAAGGAGACTTTGTACGGCGATTGGCGGACAGTGAGCGCGTAGTCGTCGGTAACAATGCGATGTTTTGTCATTGGTGTTTGGCGACCTTTGGACGACGTGGCAGAACAGTCACTGTATCCGGTGAGGAGATAAACGAGTTGCCGGCGCCCAGGAGCCGGGAGCTCGGGGTCGATGTCGAGCTGCGGCGGCGACGTGCTCTTCTGCTGGGACGACGAGGTTTCCTCAGCGATTGCGGTTGACCACGGCTGGCGCCTGAAGCTCCTCGACGTGGCCCATGGTGGTACCCTTCGTTAGGTGCTGCGGCTCTTCTCGAAAGTTTGTCACTTGAAGATTTGTACGTCCTTCTTGAAGATCCGCTACGCCTTGTGCGACGCCAATTTCTTTTCAAGAAGCAGTTGGACGCTGCCTTCCAGAAGAGCTTCACCGTGCATGGCTGCGTAGGTTATGATGGTTACAAAACACTCAAGCGCGGCGGCAGGTTCACATGGTTGGCCATAACTCGGATTGTGGTTGACGTCGTGTGTGTCTCCACCGGTGGCAGAAAAGGCTTACGCAGCGTCAACTTTCTTGACCCGAGGTCGATGACGGCGCCATACTCGCAAAGAAAGTTCATTCCGAGGATAACGTCCCTCGAATAGTCTTGCAGAACGACGAACTTGATAGGGCACGTCTCACCGTGGATCTCGACACGAACAGTGCATCTCCCGACTGGTGTAATAAGGTACCCTCCGGCGGTTCGTATTTGAGGGCCTTCCCACGGCGTTGTCACTTTTCGCAGGCGGCGAAGACTGAGTAGACCGCTCCGGTGTCAACGAGTGCCGATGCATCGTGGCCGTCGATAACACCGTTTAAGTTGTTGGGCACTGTTGGCGGAGCGTCGGTGCGAGGCGTGGCGTCGGAAGAATGGGAGCTCTCCGGCGTTTGTGGAGACTCTTTACGTCGTCCGTCCACGGCAACTTCACCTCCGGGGGTTGCCACGCTTAGTTTTTTCGGCGGGCAAGGGCGACAGGCTTTCACGACGGGGTCGGTGTATCGGCGAAGCTGAACGTCGTGGTGACGGCGACCGGGACTAGCGGCCAGGTGCAGGGGGGGGGGGGGTGGAGACTGAGGTCGTCGAAGGTACTCTTCTATCTCTTGTGGTCGCTCACCATAGCGTGGGCGGGGGTCGTTCGAGTGGAAGCCGCACAGCCCCATTTGCCGGTAGGGGCTACGGCGGTAGATGTGGTCGGCTTCACCTCACTGGTCGCTCAGCGGGCGTCGATCGGCCGTTCGCCACACGTCGGTCTTCCTGGGCGCCGGTTGTTCTCGCGACCGGACGTACTGAGGTTGATCGTCGAGACGTCGGGGGTACGGCTGTGCTGCTGCGTACCGTCGTTGTGGCGTAGGAGGTTGACGGGCAGCAGGTGGCGGTCGTCGGGCCATGGCGGCGCAGCTCACCGTCGGTTGTTCCGGTGGTGCCAGGTCGACGGGAGACTGTGGCTGGAAGGCCCGCTGCACCTCTTCTCGCACTACTTCGGTCATGGAGAGCGAGGGAGGGTGATCGGCACTGGATAGCACCTTCCTGATCTCCTCCCGAGCGACGTCGCGGATAATCTGACGGAGATCCGGGCTGTTGTAGCTGAGAGGTGAAGGGCAGCGACGCCGGGGTGTCGCTGGTAGCGGGAATCGCGCGCTTGAAGGGCGCGCTAGATGTTGGTTGCCTCCGTGACGAAGGCTTCGGCGGGTTGCGGACAAGGCCTCCGAAGATGTTCTCCCTAACACCCCGCATCAGGATCCGTAGCTTCTTCTTGTCGGTGGTTTGAAGGTGGCTTGGAGGTCGGCGCGAGCGACCAGGTGCAGGACATCGTCGACGAAACTGGTGATTGTTTTGTTTGCGCCCTGGGTGGTCATTTGAAGAAGGTCCTCGGCCTTCTGCCGTCGATATTGGTTGGTGAACGTCCCTCTTAGCGCATCCTTGCAGGCGGTCCATAAGGCCAGCGAAGTCTCGCGGTTCTCAAACCAGTGCCTGGCCGTTCCCTCGGGTGCGAAGTGAAAACTCTGAAGGCGCTGTTCGTCCGTTCATCCGTTGTGCTGGGCCACTCGCTCGTATTGTTGTAGTCAGTCCTCGACGTCTTCATAGGGCTCACCATGAAATGACGCGGGAGTGCGGGCAGCGACGGGTTGAACGACGACGGGTGGTGTGGCCATTGTCGGTTTCTTCTTCCTCCGTTTCTCGGGCAAGAGACCCAATTCGGGGGACTGACCTCCGTTACGATGGCTTCTTCGGGCTTCTGCGTCTTCGGCGAAGGGTAGCCTTCCAGGGCTGAGTACGTCGCTTGGCCGGGATGTCTTCGGAGGGTTACGCTCAACGGGCATAGAATGCAATACCCCGTACCTCCACCAAAATGTCACGAATGACAACTGATGAAGCGTGATAACTGAAGAATTTAAACGTTTAAAGGGGCGAAGTTGTGCCCAAAACAAAAAGGGAAGGGAAAAAAACAACAGAGCGGCGCGGGCGGTGATTGCGGCGAAACAGCAGGATTGAGCGCTGGGGCAAGACTGCTTTCGGCTTGCCACGCGGAGCGCCTTTTGTAGTTGCATTGGTTTCCGGAACATTCGGCCTAGAATGTGCGGCACGTAGATCATTCTGGCCGGGAACAAGCCCAAAAGGATTCTCGAATTTACCAGAACACTAAATTCCAATAATAAATAAAGAACGCGTCACTCCCAGGAATCGAACCCTGGCTTTTCGCGTGAGAGGCAGGCACTATACCCGTTAGCCCATGCGCGCGCTGCCTGTACTCGGCCAGCGGCGCGCGCGGCAATATAAAATATCTGGATATTAAGAGGCGTTTGACTAGTTAAGTCATAAAAAACTTCCAATTAAATTTCAATCTGATTCAGGATATAGGGACAGAGTAACGTTTTTTAAGTAGATAGAGCAATTTCTCACTAATCGTAAGCAATTCGTAAGTATCGACGGAAATAGGTTAGGAATACGTCATGTTGAATCGGGCGCACCACACGGCTCGGTACTTGGTTCAGTGTTGCTTCTGGTACAAATTAACGACCTTAGAGCTGATCCATATATTTAAGTAAGATTATTTGCAGATAACTGTACTATTTATACTGATGTCAAATCTGTCACCGATCAGATTAGGTTAAATGAGTATTTGTCTAAAATAAATGATCGGTGTACAAAATGCTAAATGTCTTGAAATACGCCAAAAACCTTACGCTTGGCCATAACGCGCAAATATCGACCTTTGGCGTTTAAATACACGCTACAGGGAGTCACCTTAGCCAATGATAGTGAATAATAATATTTCGGTATCACTATGAGTTCATATCTTAGATGAACAAAGCACTTTGATAACGAATAGACCATTTGCTATATTACCCAAGCATCGAGAATGCAGGGATTGGTGTTCCACGCGCCACACGCGCACGCCTTCCCCGTATAAAAGATTCGAAGTAAATAAACAAAATAAAGCGTTGACGAACGCGCATGCAATACGCCATTTGTTTTAGGCATTTACTTTAGAAAAGTTACTACTGCTGAGGTCAGCACGTGCGGCGCGTGGAACACCAATCCCTGCATTCTCCTTGATGCTTGGGTAATATAGCAATAGGTCTATCGGCAAAGCCAACAACATATTAGGATTTGTCAGTCTGCGCTCAAGCTGGCTTCACTGGAAATTAAGCTGATCGCATACGTTATGAACCCAGACCCAGTCAAGCTGCTTTTAGCAGCTTTTTGTCTGGGGACCCCTCCAGTACTTCTGGAAAAATAAAGTTTATTGTATTTTATTGTAAGATGTTTGTGCGGCCAACGCTGGAGTATGCGTGTGAAGTCTGGGATACGTACGTAAAAAGCTTGAGTAAAAATTGGAAAGCGAACAACGACGAGCATTGTGTTTCATATACTCTCGGTATCACAGACAGGAATCGCTTTCATTCCTGTACAGCAGAGCCTATTTACCGATGCTCCAACTCGGCAGGAAAAAAAAAACAGGTTGTATTGTTGTTACAGCATTATTAACAACTTTTTTCATGTTGACAAGCGTCAATATATAAGTAACGTCGCGAATAACAAGGAATTGGCACGGAAGTCACGCGAAAAAAAGGTTTATTAAGGTATGCTTTAAATACTCATTATGTTTGCGGACAAGGAGGGATTGGAACCAACTGCCAAGAAATGTTGTAAGTGCACGTAGCCGGCAGGTGTTCGCATCTCTTATTTCTAATGTTCAATAGCGGCAAAGACTGTTTGTTGCGTTAATATTGTGGGCGTTGCACCGTTTTGATTTATGTCTTGTGCATGTGTATGTTGTGTTAATATTGTGGGCATTATTGATTTATTTATTATGCATGTTTCGGTGCAGGGCAGCGCGGTTTGTGATTGTTGGGCTGTCACACATACTGAGTTAATCTTAATTATGTAATCTACTTGCATCTTGATCCCGTAAGGGAGCAAGTACAAGGTAACGCCCATTGGCCCTGTGCACATCAAATTTGATTGGTTTGATCAAATTCTGAGTTTTTTACGATTGGTTATAATCTTTGCATTGTTCGTCGTGATTGGCTCACTTCTGTTCTGAAAGAACTCGCAGGCCTGATTTTAGAGCGTATGATCGTTCTAGTCGCACGGGAACGGGCTCCTCCGTGGATGGGCAAGGTCTTGGGCGGCGGCGGTCTCCGCCGTCTTGTGGTCCGTGGTGGCCGGGCGGATGAACCTGCCCATGTACTTAGGGCTGTGCCGCACGAGGTAGAGGGTGAAACGCTCTGCCACTGTCTCCTTGCGGTCGGTGCGATGCACCTTCTTCTGGGCCGGCAGGCTGGACGTCTTCATGGCATCGTGGTACGCCCGGAACTGCTGCGGCTCCCTGGGACCCCAGTGGGCGCAAGGAAGCAGGGAGAGCTCCACGTCCTGCGCGGTGAAGAGAAAGCCTGGCTTTAGGGTACGGGTAAATGGAACGAATGCGCGATAGCACTTGACGGTATTTTTTAACTGGCAGCACTTGCTATCAGAATAATATGCAACGTGGCGCGCGGTGAAGGAATTGGGAATGTATAAAAAACAAGGCTCGTCATCCATGCACCTCTTCTTCAGGGTCAAGGCTTCCTTTTCTCTGAAATTCCGCCCCGCATAAAGCCTGACAGTGAAATACCTCCGTGCCTACTAGATTATTCTACCGGGTGTGCAAAGTAGAGGCCAGGTTCCTTAAATCGACCGGAAAATTCAGTTTCTTAGCCTATCGGGCTGCAATATTTTGCAGCGTTGCCCGCAGGTGGTGTATCTTTTCTATAAAAATTATAAAGAGCGAACTTTCCCGAGGAAGAAGTAAAAAAAAAAAAATAAGGCTTAACTCCTGCGGAAACGTAGTGAAGTCGCCGGTCTTTAAACAATAGGCCACCCTACTGATTCAGGACCGGTGGCTTTGCTGGGCTTCCATAGGAGTTAAGCCTTTTTATTTGTTTACTTTTTCCTCAGGTAAGTTTGTTCTTTGCAAATTTTCTGCAAAAAATGCACCACCCCTGGACAACGCTGCACAAAATCGTAGCGCGATAGGTCAAGAGACCGAATTTTGTGGTCGATTTAAAGAGCTTGGCCGCTATTTGAGTCAGCTGATACTAATATTGTCACGAATAACTATTGATGAGGCGAAGATAACTGAAGAAACTAAATAAACGTTTAATGGGGCGAACTTGTGCCCAAAACAAAAAGGAAACAGAAGAAAAGAGCAGAGCGCCGCGGGCGTCGATGTCGGCGAAACCGCAGGATCGAGCGCTGGGGCGACCGACTTTGGCTCGCCACGCGAAGCCTCTTATGTACAGTACACGCGTGGGCTTCTGGAACGGTCGACGTAGAAGGTTCGACGCGTAGAACATTCGGACCTCGAATTAGCCCCCCAACACGGTTCTCGAATTTACCAGAGCATCACATTAGAGGCGACAAAAATGCGAGCCCGCGGCCAGGAATCGAACCCTGGCTTTCTGCGTGGAAGGAGAGCGCGATAACCGTTAGGCCACAAGCGCGCTGCCTACCTAGTCAGCTGCGCTCACGGCAATAATCAATAGGGAGTTTTCGTAGATCGTTTTCGCCGTCCCGCAAGGCCCTCCGCAACCCGCTACGATAGCGGGAACTCCATAGTCAAGGCTATCGGCGCGCAGGCGCAGTATCAACTTCTTCGTTGCGGAACGCTTAGCGGAGGAGGCAGCGCGGTCTACGAAAACTCCCTAATACCTGCCGCCCTGTTACGCGTGTTCCGTTCCTATGCAGCGGAAGGGTGGGGGGGGGGGGGGGGAGACGGGAGAGTGTTACAGTCAGCGCACCACTTAGGCCTCACCCCCCCCCCCCCCTTCCCCCGTCAACTCAGTGAGGCGCTGGTCGCGCATGATAAGTAGTCTAACGAACAGCTGTCTTTTCTTGATGACACACCATTTCATGGTCTTGCTTGGGTGCGACTGATACAAACACTGGCGATCAAGACCAGAGGCGGTTCCTATTACCTAACTATCGCTTTAATAAAAATTGCGCTTTCATCTTGATTGATTGATCTGATTATAATATGCAGACTCGCATTTCACGACAAAGGCAGTCGACGTTCAGGTTCGCTATCCGCCTTCCTGGAACGCGTCGACACGTCGTCTTCTTGCGTCCGTTTTCTCGCGACGACACGGAGGGTGCACAGACGTTGGAGCAATGGCACATAGAAGACAGGGCCTTTCCCACCAAACGTCTTCACTGGTGTAGCAGCGGCTCACCTACCATGGCGGCAGCGTCATCGGCAGCGCGTCTTCCAGCGTCACACAATGAGCGCATCGTTAGCGCGGGGCGACGCCAAGTCGGACGCGTCGGCCGCATTGAGTCAACTCTCGTCGATCTTCGGCATGTTTGCCGCTTGGGGCGGATCGGGAATCCACTCACGACGCACGTATTGCGCGGACCTGGGTCTTTTAGTTGCCATTGCATTTATGGAGCGTGTGGACATTCACATCTCGTTTCTGCACGCGCAGGTGGTTTTCCAGGCGGGTGGTTGGCAGGTGGCCAATGAAGTCCGCAGAGAGCGAGAGGGGGGGGGGGGGGGTTTGAAAAGAGTAGCTCCATGGTCTCCAGTTGTGCTACCTTCTTCGCACCACTCTGCCACGCCACAACACGCGTGCAGCGAAAATGCGAGTTAGGCACTGCTAGAATGCGGTTCTCTATTAAAAATATGTTGTCTGGAATCTGTCAGTAATGCGCACATTGCACTCCAGTACACAAGCGCGAAGGCATCACTGAAAACACGGAAGATTTAATTGAAGTGAACCGACTTAGGATGGCCCCGATTTTATTGAAATATTCAAATTATAATATAGCCAGTTATACGCATGCAAGCCACATACGACTTTTATAAGCGTCTAAATATCGCAAATATTTTACTCTTAACAACGTATTCTTGTTTGGGGGGAGGGGGAAGGGGGAGGGGGATTGTTCAATTATACTGATAAATCGACACCAGGTTATATATTTATCAAGTAGTGAGAAAACGTTTGGAAAGTTATTTTATCGACCGTTTGTTAATGATATTTTTGTTTTTGGCAAGTTTTCTTGCCATAAAAAGTCATAAAAAGGGAATATTATTTCTCTCGTTGACAGCTAGTTTCGCATTAGGAGGATTTTCGTTGAGCAGGACTAAATCAACAAAAATAAAAAAGGGGTATATGTCTCGAATGTTTCTACGTCTTCGCTTTCAGCGTCAACTTCAAGTAGTCATGTCACAGATTGAATGTACCGAAGTTGTCACATTCGAATAAATTACTATAATCACATATTATTTCTAATACACTAGAACTTGGATACAAGAAGGCGGGTAACCGCTCATTCACACAGGAAGCGGATCTGCGTTCTCAAAGCGGTGGCGAACGCGGTTGTATAAAGATCCAGTACGATCGCACGCGCACTTTATGTCATCGAGTGAGTGTGCGATTGCACTGGATCTTTATACAACCGCGTTCTCAGCCGCTTTGCGAACGCAGATCCGCTTCCAGTGTGAATGAGCGGTAAGAAGCGCCGTTAGCGAGCAAGTTCAATTCTAGCCATAGTCCGTGAGGGGTTAAGAGTGAAATGGAAGCTCCTTCCACCTCTTTCCACTCTAGCAGAGCGGATGATGGAGAGGAGGCGACCTCCTGTATACAGTGTTCGCTCTGCTAATGTGGGAAGAGGTGGGAGGAGCTTCCCCTTCGCTCTTAACCTTTCACCGACTATAAGCGTCGCGTGACGAGTCAACACTAGGGGGCAAAGACGGGAGCAGAAGGCGGCAAATCCTGGGCGATGACATCGGTAGTCCCGAAAGAAAAAGAACAAGAAAGAGAGTGACAGAGGAGCGGGGAAAGTGCGCATAGAAAAAGTTAGGCGGGTTCGTTTTTCCGCGACGAGCTGAAGCTGTTGGAGCGCTTATAAACTTTATGTAGTTTTATACATTGCGCGATTCCTGTGTTTTACTAGAAAAGAACAAAGCACTAGAATGCAACGAAAGGTCACCTTACAGGTGATCTTTCGCTGCTTCCTTGTGCATATTAAGGTTTCGCCAGCGATATGGATCCATCAGGACCGCCCTGGTCCGCGTCTATGCCCTGCCGCTCCCAAGTGGCCTAGGTGCATAGGACTTGCCCCCTATCGAATATTATATTGTTTCTATGGTCAGCACCTCATAAATAACGAGGCCAAGTACACTCTAAAAAATTCCTGCGCGTCAACTTACCCGCAAAACACTCAAAGAGCCAATCTCTGCGATCTGCGAGATCAGCTCAGCGAATGATGAAGCGGAACATGCCGTTTATACCTAAAAATGAAGTCTGCGCTGTGGAATTACGCAATGCAAAGCGTCATGCTTGTATTGCGTAATGCCACAGCGTAGACTTTATTTTGAGGTCTAAACAGATGTTGTGCCTCATCATTCGCTGAGTAGATTTCATAGATCAAAGAGATTGGCTCTTCGAGTGTTTTGCGGGTAAGTAGACGCGCAGGCAGTTTTTAGAGTGCAGGAGCACCCTTCTATCGAAATTCCTCTCTTATTTTTTGCCTCTTCTACCTTTTGATGTTTGCTCTCTACCCCAGTCTCAGGTTAATTCAACATGGTTAATATTCACCAGCTCGCCTGCACCCTTATGATATTTTCCCTGCTATTTCCCCGTTAAATTTAGCGGGGAAATTGCGACGTCACGTAGCGTGAAACTGTGGTGTCTCATCTTTACGTCATCTGACCGACATCGCAAAATTCCATGACGTCACGCGACAATAAATTCTGTGATTCTTGAATCCCGTGACGTCATGACATCATGACGTCACTGGATTCAGCAAGACAAATTTAGCGTGTCATCCTTCATGTCACGCCATGACACTATGACGTAACGTGAATGACGACACGATATCTTGTTGTGAAGTATCGCGTTACGTGACATCATTACTTTATGTTGCATGATCCCACGTGACACCAAGACAGTCACGTGATATTGCGGCGTCATGCGGTCATACCAACACAAGCAAGAAAGGTACGTAGAGGGTTCGCATATATTGGGCTATCACTTGAAAAATTTGACACTAGCGTCATGATGTTGGGCGACACTAGCGTCATGGAGTTGGGCGAACGCGCATGCGCGTAGGAGTCGCACCCAATTATTTTCGAGGAGCCAGGTGACTACGAGTGGGGGCACAGCTGCCATGGCCAGCACGACCATGGCGATGGCTGCGAACCGCACAGGCCTTTCCATGGCCTGCATCTCGTCCACGTAGACGTGCACGGCGGTCAGGGAGACGGCGGCAGCAACCAGGGACGCCAGCGGAGACACGCGACGCCAGCGGCGTACCAGGGACCGCGCCAGCGCCACCTGCTGCATGAAGGCCACGTCGAAGACCAGGCGGTCCGTGCCGTAGCCCCAGACGAAGGCGAGCAGTTCCAGGCAGGCGACGAGCAGCACGGGCACCTGCGAGTGGGCAGTGAGGTGGTCGGTGATGGTCGCTCGGTGACGGGTGGTCGGTGACAGTGTCGGCGCTCCAATGGCCCGTGGTCCTGTCTGGTTGATGTGGCCCTCAAGATTGGTTGCGGGGTGGGGGGGTGGGGGGGGGGGGGGCTCAACGTCGGTTCGGCTCATGTGAAACTGTAGTGTCCCATTCTTACGTCAGATGGCGTAAGGATGGGACACCACAAAGGCCCCTTTGAACTCGAATCCAAGTGGCCTGCATTAAGAACCCCCCCCCCCCCCCCCCCCCACACACACACACACACTTCATGGTACCCAGAGCCTGTCTTCTTGGACAGCCCGTCTGGTCTAGAAAAACAGCGCTGAAATAAACAAAGGACACAAAGAGCAAATAGAACCCACCAGACGCTGACAGTCACCCGAAAAACTTATTTGCGCATCGCATTCCTATCGAAAAAAAAGATATCAGGTTGTCGGTCGGCGCCTTGTTTATGTGGTTTGTTCCTTGTTAACTTTATCTGTTTTAGCGCTGTTTTTCTTTTTTCACAAAATACACCAACTAGCCCAACTTAATGTCTTCATTACATGAATTAGCACTAACATAGACGACGTGGCACACATCGGGGTATTCCGCGGGCAGGCCAAGTTGGGCATGCATACGTTTTGTCCGTCATAGTTTAAAAAGTATAAAAGCTCCATAAACAACAAAGACTAAGACGAAGTGAGGCAACACCAGGCGGCTTGTGATTGTGTTACTTGGTCTTGGTATTTGTTGTTTTCGACGCTTTTATACTGTTTTTAAAATTATGAATCAGCTAGGCTCGTTTTCACCTCAAGAACAGAAGTAAAAACGTCCAGCTGCGCTCTGAGCATTGCGAATTCCTTCCTTTATGTGGAGAATTAAAATATATGTAGGTCAAGTTTAGATTAGATATGTATATGTTATCTCACCAAGTACACGTTTCATATGTGAAAAACGTCGCTTCTTCCCCCGACAACCAAACCTTGTAAGAACGACTTCGCGTAATGCATGAATAATGCGCGGAACCTGCTTAAAAAAACGAAAAAAAAAAAAAACGAGTACACTTTAATTAACCACATTGTTGGCCTTCATCAACCTAGTTTGACTACTTGGTAGACGCAGCTCGATTTCATTAACACACCACACCGCTGGCCTACAATAGATCTTCATTCGAATTCACGGTCGACGTTGCTGTTTTGTCAGCGTTAGTCAACGGTGTTAGTTGTTACCGTTGAATATACAATTATATAATTTTTAGTGGTCGTGCATTTTAATTTTACCAACTGCATACTCGTTGGAGAAAAGAAAGTTTGCATTGGAGGGGAGTGAAGTAGGATTTTCAATTTACAAGGACGAAAATAAGAAAGCTCCATTTCTTTTCGCCTCCTTTCCCAGAAGCGTTCTTCTGCATCAACTTTTAAGCTCGTCATTCAAATCAGCTCACATATTGAATATGAGCGCTCCGTTACTTGAACTGCGCTGGGTAACAATCAATTCGTCGGCGAATATTCGTGTCCATGTTGTAGCCAGTACACCATTTTCTGAGATACCGGTTTGGGAGACTTTCGCAGTGAACGGACGCGGACACCACGAGCACAGAACCAACTGGTTGAAAGTCTGTCCAGATGGTTGGTGAGTCTTTGAAATGCAAGCAGGTTTTGAGACCAAAAACTGTGCAATCATAAGTGCAAAAAGAAAAGAAAAAACGATTGGATTAGTTTGAGAGAACAAAATTTCAGGGTTTTCCGAGCTTAAATTGTGCTCTACGAATTAGCAACATAGGCGTGTGACTGGGATAGTCCGTACCGTTCAGAACTTCACACGTCCTTTTTCTTGCCTGAGTAATTTATGTGTTCGTTTATTATTTAATAAACATACGTTTACGTATCTAACAGCACGAGGCGGCGAAAAAAATAGCCCGATTTCTTTCGGTGTCACGGCCAGACTGAATTCACGCTCACTGTCTTATGGCCTCTCCATTGAGGTATAAAAGCACCTATGGCTGCAATGAGTCACTGACACACAGTTGGGTGAAAGCGCTACTGGGTGGCCGTGAGCAGCGCGCAACATCTTTTGGTGGCTATTTAGTTATTTTTTTATTTATTCTTATTTTCAGTGACCCACCAACAGCTTAACGCCTCCTTAGTGGTGCACTTATTCCTTCAGAAATGCAACGTTAAACAGGATAAAAGCGAAACGTTAGGAAAAACAATAGCCTCAACAGACTGTCGAAATTTACGCTTTTCATAAAAAATATCAAGCTAAAATTCGCACAAATCTGTTCTAAATGGTTATAAGTCAGTTGTAGGCTTGTCATGTGCGCAGCATGGTAAAAGTCGAAAGGGTAAAACAAAGTATAAAGTCTGCAAGACTGACGAGGAACGTGCAAATAGATGTGACTAAGTACCTCTGGGGAATCAATTATATCATTTACAATCTTATACAAATATGTCAGTTCACGAATTGCTCTCCTGTTGTGCAACGAGTCTAACTTCACGAGCTCACAAATCCTCTCATAACTATAGAAATAATTCGGTTGAAAATAACGATCAAACAAAACACGAACGAACCTACGTTGAACACTCTCAATTACACCTGAATTTGTCACTCTAATACAGTTCCAGACAACTGAGGCATATTCAACACGACTACGCACCATTGAAGAAAACAAACGTAAAATACAAAGTGGTTTAGAAAAATCGCGTGTCACTCGTGTAATGGCTCCCAGCACTCTAAAGGAAGCATTCGTAATTGTAGTCACGTGATGATTGAAATTAATTGCAGGATCCATAAAAACGCCTAGATCACGGATGACCTCAACGCGAGTAATATTGGCGGAATCTAATACATAGGGAAAACTCAGAATTTCACGCTTCCTAAAAAAGAACATAACTTTTGTCTTTGACTCATTTAAGAGTAACTCATTTGAAAAACACCACGCTGAAATAGAACCTCTATCGCGCTGAAGACATTCACAATCGTCAATCGTTTTAACCGCTGTAAACAACTTAATATCATCAGCAAATAACGAAAACTGCGTGTGTTTAATACAGGAAGCTAGATCATTTACAAAAACTAAAAACAGCAAAGGGCCGAGGTTGCTGCCTTGAGGAACCCCAGAAGTAAATAAAAAAAAGGAGCAGATAATCGGCCGGATACTCGCACAAAGTTCAGCCGATGAGATAAGTAACTATCGAGGAGACGACAGTACATAAGGAACATGCCGTAACTACAGAGTTTACTCAACAGTAGTCGGTGATTAACTTTGTCAAAAGCTTTACTCATATCAAAGTAGACTACATCCGCTTGTCCTCTGCTATGGACAGATGTTACAATCAGATGTAGGAAGGAACACAGGTTTGTTTCTGTGGAGCGGCCTTTCATGGAATCATGTTGCTCAGGAATAATCCTTCGACAAAAATATGCATAAAGGTGAGTTTGCAAAACAATTTCATAAACTTTAGACAAACTACAAAGGACCTATAGTTGTTAACCATGGATCGATCACCCGATTTATGTAATGGAACAACAACAGAGCGCTTCCAAGCTGTAGGAAATGTTTCAGATGCAAGTGATAAGTTAAATATATGAACCAAAACTGGACAAAGGAGTGGAGCACAACTATTATGAAGCTGGGAATTCCATCTACTCCCGTAGATAACTTCGGTTTCAATTTTTTAATTGCTTCCAAGTCTTCAGATTCAATAATTGAAGCAACAGTAAAAAAATCCAGGCAGTTTATATTCGAGCTAGGCATCAGGCCATTATTTGTACTGAAAGAAGCACTAAAGTGGCGCGCAAAAATATTAGCTACATCAACAGGGTCAGAGACACAATCCTCATTATCTCGCAGTGTGATCGTGGTAACATTCTCTTTGATGCTCTCTTTGACAGACTTCCACATACACTGTGGCTGTGCGCTCAATGATTTCTCGGCGATGTCAGCATGTTGTTGTTTATCTCGCTTAAACAATTGTTTTGCCTCTGCGCGACAATGACTAAATCTCGTGTACCAAACGACATTGCCAGTTTTTTTTTTGTACAGGCGATGATAGTCTAGCTTGCGCCTTAAGCAATGCCTTAGTTCCTTCGAGAACCATATGGGATAGTCACTTTTATGAGACACCCTCTTTGGTATAAAGAGTTGCATGCTTTCCTGGACAATACTTGAAAGTGTGGAAGTTGATGATTCAACACACTGATCAGCTAGAACACTACTCCAGTCATAGTCCCGAAGATACTGATAAAATGAATAGTAATCACAGTTTGAGGAAGAAAACCATGATTGCGAATGAAAAATTCGCTTGGCAAGTGGGAAGAAAATTGATACAATAAAAAGGTTGATGATAGTTATCCACCCGAGATAGCGGAGCTTTGGCAAGACTGATATCAACAACCGAAGTCACCAGGGCAATGTCAAGTATGTTTCCACAACAGTTGCGTACAGTAAAAGGTTGTTCAAAACCATTGAAATGAACAAAGTCTAATAGACAAAGTAGCTTCAATCTTGTGTTCGTATGACTAAGGAGCTGCCTGACTCCCAATCGTAACAAGGAAGGATGAAATCGCCATACATGTGCACTCGAAATTTAGAGAAGTCAATTTTTTCTTCCAGGAAGTTGATATGCTCACAGAAAATAAGGTGATCAAACATCGGCGGAAAATAGTAATTGCCAATGAGAAAGTTTCTACCATCGGTAGAGAGTACTTCAATCCACACGCTCTCAGGATAACACTCGAGATCGTTCCTCCGATGAACTTTCAAGCTCCTATCTGCAGCAATCAATACACCTCCCCCCAAGCTCTTTCCCGTTTTCACATAGTAACGATCACGTCTATATACTTCATACTTGGGTGGAAAATAGTTAGATCTAGAAATTCCATCTACAAGCCAAGTTTCTGTTAGGCATATCATTGAATACGTGCTTGACATAGCCTCCGAAAAAAACTCGGCGTCCTTAGTCCTCAAACCACGTACATT